AATTCAACAAATAAACTGCCTAAAATTTCGTTTTTGTCCTGGAACCTTCACCCCCGTCCCCCCCATCCACCCCGAATATTTTTAGTGTCATTTTAGTTTTGATAACAAATTTATTGCTTTTTTTAATCGTCGTTTTCTTATTTTCCTTTTTGATGAATTAAACTTTTTAGGCGGATATTCTGTGTAAACAGAAATGTTAAGAAAGTGACAATTAAGAAATTTGTGAAGACAAGCAAAAAAAAAATGCCTGCCACGATACACCTTGTAAAGCAAATCATAAATCAGTTAAAATAATACAACTGATATTCATTGCAGGAAATTTTAAAAAATTGATGACAAAGAAGAAAAAAGCAAAGAAAAAATTTTTTTTCAAATTTTAAAATTCCACTCTTCTCTTGCCATTTCACCTTCTAAATTTCTTCCTTTTTTTTTTTCCGACAACTATTAATTTTATAATGTTCAAAACCTAACCTCAAAATTTTTTTAGGTTAAAAAAATCAAAACAATTGACTGACCAACAACTTCTCTCTCTCTTCTCCTCCCGTCATTTCCTTCTTTTTTTTTTTCTTCTTCAAGTGCTGTTAAAAAGTTAAAAATTGTGTTGACGGATCGGTAAAAAGATGTACCAAAAAAACCTTGTTTTTTTCCTCTTACGTTCTATTAATTGACGCCAAAACAATGACAAAATTGAGACAATTCTAATTACTGACTTTAAAAAGTATGTGCACTTTATTTTCTCCGTTCAGCGTTTTATCTAAGTTCAGGAATTCTTCGTCTCCGTAATGACATTGCTCTGCATCCACAAAATTCCATTGTTTCTGAGCCATTTTGTAACGAAAAAAGTTAGAAAACAACAACGACAGCACAGCAGCATTTGCAAATAACAGTCAACCATCTATCCACTTAAGACATCCTTCTTTTTTTTTCCTTCGCAAATTTTGATGGTATTCTAGTGAATCTATAATTTAGGCTCCTGTTGCCGTTATGATGGTGCTACAGAAGTTGTTAGTGTTGGTAGTATCGACATTTTTATTTAGTTTCAATAGTGAGTGAGGGAGACCATTGATTGTTATTGATGGTTTATGAATACAGACCTATGGCCCCGGCCTCAAATACAAACAACAAAATACCTTCAAATTGCAGTTTTGCATGGTTTTCAATCCTCCCCTATCCGTCTATTCCAACCATCTATTTGTGCATAGCAATAACCATTTTTTTTCCGTTGTTAACTTCCCCATATATTATTAAAAAAAATTTTTTTTTCTGCAGATTAAAACAGCCTTTTTTTTCCTATCTTTTCTTATAGTCTTTAAAAACCAACTTTTTTTTTCTCTTACTCATACTTAACCCAAATAGATAATATAAGCAACAAAAAAAATAAGACGAAATAGATGATCATATTTTACAGCCAGAATAAAACTTTTTAATGACAAGAATGAGCGCAAATAAAAAACAATTTGCACTTAACCATTAAATTATCCGATTATTAATGATTAATTTTAAAAGTCATCAGTCAAATTCATCAAAAATGTTTTTTTTTATTGAACACTGCTGTTACTGTTGCTGGTCACTATGTCCACCAATAATTTTTTGGCAAGAATGCCAACAGATAAGTTCTGTAACCATAGATTTCCCGAACTTCTGATGTCAACAATTAAACGTCAGCGATAAAACATAGAGACCAGAAAAAACAAAGAATTAGAAAGGCACAATAATTATAATGATCCGTTATTTAGACCCTATTAATGGCGGTGTAAAACAGCAACAGCAATGTATCATCGAATTTCCAAAAAATGTTCCGTTGATTAAATGATTAATTTTTTCGTGTAATTAATTGTTTATTTGAATGGTAATGAACACTTTTTCAACCACTTCTTCCTTTTTCAGCCTCCTCCCCCTCTTCCTGATCTATTACTCCAGCTAATTACGAAGGTAAAAATACCGCAACTGTCTGATACATCCGTTACCAAAAGATAAAGGTACTACAAAGAACTGGTCAGTTTGTTCAGAAAAAAAAGCAGTTTCCTCAATCCACAGACTACTTAGGCACCATAGAAATTTTCCAAAATCTGTCAGTGCGCCGTCAAAAAACCTGTTAAAACATATCGCATAACAGGTTCTTCAAAAAAAATTCTCCCAACTATCTTCTGTCCCCAAACAATGCTTTTCTGCTGTAGATAAGCTTGAATTTTGTTTCGAACATTTTATTAAACTCTAATAATAATGGTACTTTTCAAATAACCAACCAAATTCATCCTTCAATTAACCAAATTAACTTTTTTTTTTTAAACAGGAATAACAAATAACTAAACTTTTGCCTTTTTTCTTCTTTCTCTAATTGACTTCTGAATCATTAAATCAATCTAAAGTCTTCAAACAACAAAATTCACAATCCGATTACAACTGCATTTTAACCAGAGGAACAAAAAGCCAAAATTTTCATCGTTATTTTTTTGGTTATTTTTTATAATAATAAAGAAAAAAAGAAAATTGTACAAATAGTTTCATATTAATTTACCAGTTTTAAATTCAAAAATGAAAACTATTATCTGCTTTGTTTTTCAATCTTTTTTTCTTCTTCTTCTTCTGCTCTTCGACACCGTTGTCCTATGAAATTCCACTAGTACAAAAATTAAATGAAAAAAAAAGCACTTAAGAAAAATTTTAGACTAAAAAATTGAAATAGAAAGAAGAAGAAGAAGAAAAAAACGAGTTCTGCAGTTCCATTTTCTTTCTTCTATGTTCCCAGAAAACGATTGAAGAAAAACAACAAAAGAGAAGGAAAAAGAAAAAAAAACAAGAGAGGAGAAAATATTGAAAAAAGTAATACAAAAGAAATTTGAAAAATTTTTCAGATTTATGCGTTTTTTTTTTTTTTTTTTTTTTTTTTTT